GTGTATTATGTACGGCCATCACGGCCGCTAGCCTGTTCAGCCACTGTGGCATTCTAGAGGCCTCTGTTCCCATTTTGATTCTGTCTTCCAATACCTTGTTTTATTGGGCTCAGTGCATATGTATTTTATGATGTTTTATAAGAGTTTATATACTGTTTCTGCTCTTTTCACCATTTCATAAACTAGATGATTATTTGTAACTATCGGGTTCTCTACCATCTCATCACCAACAGGTCTTAGTTACATACAAAAACTCCACAACCATTCTCCGATTCACAACCTACCTTCACCCGCATTAATCCCAAAACACCCAGCACGACCACCCTGAAACTCTGAAAAAAAATGAATTTTCGTACGAAATCGTGTTCATACGAAAACGAATGCACATGTCTAGCAGGAATGTGTTTGTCTATAGTGTTGGTGTTTCACATTTGCACATATATTGCCATGCACATATACAGATGCACATTACAACACACAGAAATATAAAAACACTGCCACACAAAGATACACACCCATACACTGCCACACACAGATATGCACACACATGCACAGACATGCAAACTGACCCAAAAACATTGACGTACATGTACAGATACACATATACAGATCTACAAACACATAAACACATGAAAAGATACACACATCCATAAAAACTGACACACATGCACAGATACCTTAGATACACCCACCCTCACCCTGAGTCCAGCAATCCCTTTTGTAGTGTCTACTTTTAATGTTTCTCCTAGACCCCAAGGAGCCTGCCTGCAGCCCTGCCTACCTTCTACTTCTTGGTAAGAACTACCAGTAGTCCCAGCATGGCCAGGAAGGAACTAGTGAGTGCCGGCATGTGTGAACAAAGTCAGCAAGCCCCCTGACCCACTGGGGTGTGCACCACTAATACTTTCCCACCTAGAAATAATGTTATACCAGACCTCTATTGCATTGTATCAGTGTGCAAATATTTATTAAATGGACAAGTACATTAAAGAGAAACTCAAATTTCAAAACAAGCCAATGTCAAGGATAATAGAAGTACATGGAATCGATAAACTAGCCAAGGTCAGTGATGCAAGAAATAAGAATAGTTGAGATCAATAAGCCAGGAATCAGATAAACTAAATAAAATGTGCTCTTGGAAAACTTGAATGGAAACCACAACAGGGCAAGGATTGGATCAAGAGGAGGTTTTTTTTAAGGATACAGGGACTCTACAATTGGCCGGCATCATAAGTGTGACACCAGAATGTACTGATGTGTACCGATGATGATATCATGTTAGAGCTACATGTGAGGTGAGCATCGTGCATGGTATGAATAGATGCAGGCCAGTAGCATTCAGGGTCTGGAGTGATGCCAGTAAGTGCAGAAGGCATGCAGAAGGCCAAGGACTCTCCAACATGGCAAGCAGGACAACCGCAGGTGTGGTAAGACCTATACAATAGACTTCATATATCTTTAAAAGAACTATTAATGGATGAAATGACAGACCCCATAAAGATGTTAAAAAAAACAGTTAGATTAGGAATTTGTTTCAGAAGTTAAGCTGTGCAAACAAATTCTTTCAATCAAGCAATATCAAAAAAATAGATGGTAAAATGTAAATTTGAAATTAAAGTTTAACCGTGCTTGGTGTTTTCAGCCAGTCAAAATATACCAGCTTTTCCAACTGACATCCATTTTGCACTGCAATGTGTGTGTATATTTATGTAAATATGAATGTGGTATAAATAGCAAACAATAACATTCAAATGAGAAATCTAAAGCTAAGAAAATTTAAACATTTTGAGTATTTCATCGTTTTCAGATTTAAGAAGTGCTAGCAAAACTTGTGTAAAATCAACGATATGTTTTGGAATTCTTAAATAAAAGATTCCTATCCAGTCCATGTGCAGTGCATGGCCAGTTGCAGTACTTGTGAGCAATGAAGACAGGACAGGAAGTGTGCTGACATCCTTCCTGTTTACATAGCTTCAAAGCGATGTATGAAACTAATGAGGTCATATATAGATACTCTCAGGGTGTTTTAATGTAATTGGTTAATCTACACACAAAAAAATGACCCTAGTCAGAATCTTATTTGATTTTTTTTTTTGTGGAGTAAGCATCTTGCATATAAACTTACAGTACAAAACATGCTTTTTCTATAGACTTCTCTTCAGTGAAAAATACCAAAACAACTAACATTAGAGAGTATGTGGTATACCTTATTTTGCAATATTTAAGGTAAAGTATGAAACACCTATGTAGAAAAAGATTTCTTTCTTTCTTTTTTTTTTTTGTCAAATTCAGTAGTTTGAAACAAGTTTGTTCTTGTTGTGAGTATTTGTAGATCATACTGGCCTTTCGGAGAGTGCTGTTTCTCAAAAATTCCAACAGAATAAAAAAAAATCTGTATAAAAGTATAATATTCAAATATAACAAGAACAGCTACTTGGGATGAAAAAAAACCAGATATCTATATTGTTTTAGATTGCATTCTGCAAATAAGCACTGTAGTGTGCCTCCTCCCCTCAGGTCTCTTTAAGTTATGCAGATTCTGAATGATGTGCTATATAAGTGGAAAAACACAGCTTTTTTATACTTAATTAAAAAAGTAATTAAGTAGCTGTGTCAATTCTGACGTTAATGGTTTTTGATAGGAAATATGTGGGCACTTGATGAATGAAATGTTGACATTAGGGATATTTACAGGAGAAATCTGTTTGTTGTGGTAGTTGTGTAGAAAAAGATTGAGCAACACTGCTTCTTCATAACACTGTTTTAAATAATAGAATTCAGACATCAAAATTACTAAATACATTTACTAGCATATGCATGCACTGAAAAGTAATCATGAATCATTATATTAAAAAGGCTTTGCAAAAAATAAAAAAATGCAATGAAACCTTGCAGAAATAGGGTTTCAAGTGTCAAATGGGGATAAGGTAAACCCCTTTATTTTAATATAATGAAACTCAGCAGATAAATCTGAAAAAGCAGCTAATGTTGCTGCTTTTTGAATGAAAGGTGTTTATATCTTAAATACAATACAGAAGATCCAGCACACCCACTCATCCACTAAACAGCAACTTCAAAGCTTACATATTTTATTTTATTTTTTTTGTAAAAAAACACCTAATGTAGACAAAAAATAATGAAGGTTTAGCTACAGTATATGGACATACATTGCATAAGATAGATAGATAGATAGATAGATAGATAGATTGATGGGAAGATAGATAGATGATAGATAGATAGATGATAGATAGATAGATTGATGGATAGATAGATGGATAGATAGATAGATAGATGGGTAGATAGATAGATAGATGGGTAGATAGACAGATGGATAGATTGATGGATAGATGGATAGATAGATGGGTAGATAGATAGATAGATAGATAGATAGATAGATAGATAGATAGATGGATAGATAGATGGATAGATGGATAGATGGATAGATAGATGGATGGGTAGATAGATAGATGGGTATATAGATAGATAGATAGATAGATAGATAGATGGGTAGATGGGTAGACAGATAGACAGACGGATGGATGGATGGATGGATGGGTGGGTGGATGGATGGGTGGGTAGATGGATGGGTAGATGGATGGATGGGTAGATGGATGGATGAGTAGATGGATGGGTAGATGGGTAGATGGATGGATGAGTAGATGGATGGGTAGATGGATGGATGAGTAGATGGATGGGTAGATGGATGGATGGATGGATGGATGGATGGATGGATGGATAGATAGATAGATAGATAGATAGATAGATAGATAGATAGATAGATAGATAGATAGATAGATAGATAGATGAATAGATAGATGGATGAATAGACAGAGCAATGGATTTTATCAAAATATTTAAGAAACATTTAATATTCTTAAATATTATGTGGATTTTTGCGGTAGAATATTTTTTAATAATAAGGTAGAATTAATCTTTAGCATACAACTCTTGTAATCTTCTGTTTATTATTGAACTATTAATTTGACATAGGAATTGATTTATCATACTTCTTTACCCAGCAGGTCCATGCTGCAACCAATATTACTTACGGTTCATCTTTCACGAATGAATATTCAATATTAAAGTATCTGCATTTTTCCAGGCTTTCGTTATTAACAGGGTTATTCACTAAAGTGAGAATTCAAGATGAATTCAAAGTAAATTTAAAAGTCCACAGTAGTTGAAGTAATGGAATAGCTGACTTTGAATACGAAATTCACTTTAGTAAATAATCCTAAAATGTTTGCTTTTACATACCAAAATGAATAGGAACAGATAGAAAGGGGTGTGTTTAAACCCATAATGCTGTTTACAGAGTTCTATGCAGTCTGCATTTTAATGTGGTTTAAAGCCATAACGGCTTTGAGCCCAGGAGCGGGCACAATACTTACCTACTCGGCACTCCACTTATCACTGACTGCCTGACAACCTAAGCAGTCACGGTCTGGCATATCAGGCCCCCAAGGGCCATGTGATTGTCCTCACATAGTGATCACATGACCTCAGTAGCAGACTAGGGAGGTACTTGCGGAGGGACTGCCTGGGCTCTCAGGTAGTCCCCCTGATGTTGTTAAATGTAAAAAAATATATATTTTATATCTATTTCGGCACACAATAAATATACAAGTATATATATATAAACATATAAGATAGATCTTATATGTATACTTTCATACTTAGTGTATTTTTATATACTTGGAATGAAAGTATATATATGATAAATAAAAGAACACTCTCAGGATTTCCAGCAAAAAAAATGTGTATTCACAAAATAAAAAAATGTATTGTTTTGACCCTCCTGGGTCTTTATCAAGATTACTACAGAAACAAATATATTATATTTCTGAGAATCGTGTTTTGGAGGAAAGTCTGTGGACATTATTTTAACATTTGAATCTTGGCATGTTTTATTCTTTTTCTTTTTTATTTTTTTTTTTTAGTGTTTAAAGGGACAATATAGTCACCTGAACAACTTTAGCTTAATGAAGCAGTTTTGGTGTATAGAACATGCCCCTGCAGCCTCACTGCTCAATCCTTATGCCATTTAGGAGTTAAATTCCTTTGTTTATGAACCCTAGTCACACCTCCCTGCATGTGACTTGCACAGCCTTCCATAAACACTTCCTGTAAAGAGAGCCCTATTTAGGCTTTCTTTATTACAAGTTCTGTTTAATTAAGATTTTCTTATCCCCTGCTATGTTAATAGCTTGCTAGACCCTGCAAGAGCCTCCTGTATGTGATTAAAGTTCAATTTAGAGATTGAGATACAATTATTTAAGGTAAATTACATCTGTTTGAAAGTGAAACCAGTTTTTTTTTCATGCAGGCTCTGTCAATCATAGCCAGGGGAGGTGTGGCTAGGGCTGCATAAACAGAAACAAAGTGATTTAACTCCTAAATGACAGTGAATTGAGCAGTGAAATTGCAGGGGAATGATCTATACACTAAAACTGCTTTATTTAGCTAAAGTAATTTTGGTGACTATAGTGTTCCTTTAATAAAACTTTAGAAGCCATATATTGTAGTCCTGTAGATTAGTGACAGATCTGTTTTTTTTTTTTCAAGATGGATAATGTCCCCATAGTCAGTGGTGTATTTTGGTTTTATGCTGGCCCAGGGCTTGACAAAACTTGGGTACCCCTCCCCCCCAGTCCATCTATATGTATCTTCCTTTTTAAAACGAACACTTTCCTGACAGACGAACACCCTCACTGATGCATACACTGACATACACTCACAGACAGATACACAGTCATTGGTACACACACTGTTTAACCAACACACACTTGCACTGAAACACACACACTGACAGACACACACACACACTCACTCACATTCACTGACAGACACACACATTCACCAACAGACACTCACTGATAGACACACATACATACACACACTCACAGACACAGATACACAGATACTCACAGACACATATGCACACTCACTAACAGACTCACACTCACTCTGTGTCAGAAAAACAAAATAAGAATCAGACACACCAAATCTGTCAGGCACATACACACAGTCAAACACACATACACACTCGCTGACAGACACACACTAACAAACACACATACACAAACACTGACAGACACATATACAATCAGTGTCAGACACACACATTCACTGACAGACACACACACATACACTGACAAACATACAAATTCACTAACAGACATACACATTCATTGGTAGACACATATACACACTCACTGGCACACATACTCTCAGTGACAGACACACACTGACAGTGACAGACACATTGACAGAGACACACAGAAACTCATTGACAAACACGCATACACTCTCACTGACACACACACACACTCACTGACAAACACACATACACTCTCACTGACAAACACACATACACTCTTTGACAGACACACATACAAACTCACTGACAAACACACATGCACTCTCACTGACAAACACACATACACTCTTACTGACAAACACACATACACTCTTTGATAGACACACATACAAACTCATTGACAAACACATATACACTTTTTCTGACAAACACACATACGCAATCACTGACAAATACACACTTACTGACAAACACACATACACTCTTCCTGACAAACACACATACACACTTTGACAGACACACATACAAACTCACTGACAACACATATACACTCTGACTGACAAACACACATACACACTTACTGACAAACACACATACACTCTTTGACAGACACATATAACTCTTACTGACAAACACACATATACACTCTTACTGACAAACAAACACATACAAACTCACTTACAGACACACACACAATTTATTTTATTTTTTTATATTTTACTCCATCCAGCCTCCCTACCTTTGGGAGTGCTGGCATGGAATCTCTATGTCCCTGTGATCCAGTGGGGCTGCTAGGCAGAGCGGCTGGGTGTGCGATCCCTGGGGTCCAGTGGGGCTGCTGAGCAGCTGGGCGTTCAGTCAATGCAGGCATGCAAGGGAGCTCTGATCTCCCTGCTCAGCTCCCTCGCACACCTCTTAGTGATGCTGGAGCCGGAGTGACATCATATTCCAGCTCCAGCATCACTGCGGTGCATAAAGGAGCTGAGCAGAGAGAGCTCAGGGGACAGTGCTTCCTCGCTGTCTGCCTCCATCCCAAGCAGTTGCCAGCCTCAAGGGAGCGGGGGCAGGGGCAAAGTGGCCAGCCAGCTAGCTCCTGGCAAGAAGCTGACAAGGCTTTTTTTGCCACCCCCCTGAAAGTGCCGCCCAAGGCAAATGCTTTTTCAGTCTCGTGCTAAAGACAGCACTGCCCATAGTGGCACTTTTGATTTTATACTGAAAGCCCAGACCATCGGGTCTCAAGAAGGTGAGCAGAACCAATACTGCATTCTTTGTATATATATTGAATTTACAATACTACACTAGGAGCTTGTCTCCCATTCTGCTTTATTCCCCTCTCTGAAGTCCTCCTGGATTGAAGAAAGAAGACGTTTTGGTATTACCTGCTGTTGTCATTTGAGCCTCTCCCGGTTTGGCTCTGTCTCATGTGAGTGCATCCGACATCCATTTTATTTAGCACTCAGTCTTTTGGTTAAATACACTATATTTCCTTTATCCTAGTTTATGTCGCCTCTCCCTTATTATAATGGTAAGTTTATTTTTGTGTATAGCGTTCCACTGGGTTTACCTGAGTTGATAGTTTGTTTCTTGGATAGGGAAAATGGCACCCACACGTAGGTTTGATAGCCCACATCCCTTACATACGAGTTGATTGATAAGTGTATCTATTTACCTAATCCTCCCAGTTACACACGTTTACTTTGTTTCTCCATAAGGGTAGCTATGGAGTTAGGAGGTGTGTAGTTACTAATTTCTCCTTATTTGGCATATTACCCACAGAGTCTATATTTGTGAAATCACTAAATGGATACATGCACCGCTATTTTCTCATATTACAACTCATTTGTGGTTAGTCCATTCCCTCAAACAATTTAGCAATTTGCCATTATTTTAGGTTGTATTCACATGAATATTAACCTTTCTGAATTCTTACATAATCTGTTTAATTTATGGACTGGACTGTTTTTGCGATGTTGTACATTTGCGACCAGGCCTCTTTTTACACTTTTGTGGTGTTTGTGTTTAGCTGTAATTTTCCGCTCTCTCATTTACTGTTCCCATACAAATGAAATATTGTTTTTTTCAGGACAAAAGGGGCTTTCTTTCCATACCATTATTTATATAATCTCATGTAATTTAATTTAAAAAAAATAAAAAAATATGGTGAAAAATTGAAGAAAATACATTTTTTTTACTTTTACTTGGAAAATCTTTTACTCATCTACAAAAGCGAATGAAAAAAACTGCTAAATAGATTCAAAATTTTGTCCTGAGTTTAAAAATAGGGCTAGCAAGTAGGATATTGCGGTTTCAAAACATACATTTTAAAAATTTATCAGTAGTGACATTGTAACACTATTATCTGTCGTAAATCTCTGAATAACACCCCAGATGTACATATTTTTTTTTTAAAGTAGACAACCCAGGGTATTCAATATGGGGTATGTCCAGTCTTTTTTAGTAGCCACTTAGTCAAAAACACTGGCCAAAGTTAGCATTCATATTTGTTTGTGTGTGAAAAAAGTAAAAAACTAAATTGAACGCTAATTTTGGCCAGTGTTTGTGACTAGGTGGCTACTAAAAAAGACTGGTTGTACCCCATTTGCAATACTTTGGGTTGTCTTCTTTTGCAAATGGTATGCCACCATGGGGGTAATTCTCATTCTTGGGCTACCATACGCTCTCAAAGGCAACGTAACCAACCTGGCCTTTTTCAATGTAAAAATATTTGACCCATATATTTGACCCTGTAACTTTCAAAAACGCTATAAAACCTGTACATGGGGGGTACTTTTATACTCGGGAGACTTTGCTGAACACAAATATTAGTGTTTCAAAACAGGAAAACGTATCACAACAATTATATCATCAGTAAAAGTGCTACTTGTGTGTGAAAAATGCAAAAAAAAGTCACTTTCACTGACAATATCATCGCTGTGATATGTTTTACTGTTTTGAATTACTAATATTTGTGTTCAGCGAAGTCTCCCAAGTAAAACAGTACCCCCCAAGTACAGGTTTTAGGTTGTCATAGAACGTTACAGGGTAAAATATAGTGCTAGCAAATTAAATTCTCTGGAATTTCGGCCTGGGTTGGCAGGCAGGTCCCTCAAATTGCAATCAATAAAATTACTTAATTATGTAAAAATATTACATAAATATGCACGTAGAATTTAAATATATATGCATATTTATATATTTGAAGTCTACGTGTATATTTATATAATTATTTATGTAATTTTGTATACGGACATATGTATATTTCGTATTATTTTTATTTATATATACATAGATAGATATACAATTTCATTCTAAGTGTATTTTGATAATACAGTTAGAATAAAATTTCAAATAGATATATATATTTTTTTAATTTTTATTATTTTTACATGTTTTTATTTAATTTAAATTAATTATAATTTGTATTTTATAATAATATTTATATACAATATATATAGGTATTATATATATTATATATATATATATACACACGTGTGTAATTTAATTATAAGTGTATTTTTATATTAATATATGTACATATTAATATAAAAATACACTTAGTATGACATTATATATATGATATATAGACATAAGCATATAATATATGTCTATATATCATATTTATATACACATATATAAGTATTATTATTTTTTATTAACTTTAACTTTTATTTTGTTTTATGATTTTACACATGCAGGGAGACTGCCTGTCAGCACAGGCAGTCCCCCTGCAGGCAGACACATGGACACCTATTGTGACCATGTGATTGCTCTGTTGAGCGATCACATGGCCACAGGGGTCCTAATCTGCCATGGGGAGACTGTCTGGGCTGCAGGCAGTCTCCCCACAAGCACCGCCGATCGCCACCGGGGGATAACGGCAATCGGGTAAGTACATTGGACCGATGACGGTCCTGAACCGTCCTCGGTCCTGAAGGGGTTAAGCAACAAGACAGAATCCAAACACTGATGCAATAAATATGCTTGGTTGTCTGTTTTTGTGGTTGTTTTTTGCACACTTTATTTTGATTGTAGGCTTGGTTAGCTGTTTATGTTAATTTGGGAGAACTGTTGTTGCTGCCTTTAGTCACAGTTTTGATAACTTTGAGCAATAGATTATTCAAATATGTATGTCTATCCTAGACACACAAAAGGGTATTCCTGGCAGTTGACTATGTGATTGTAGAAAAATAAATTGCTGATTTTTAGAATATGTCCAGTTCAGTTATTATCATTA